GAATGCACGTTAATCGCTCTATTTCATTATGTAAGTAATTCTGGAATGTGAAAAAGAAAAAAAATAAAAATTTTCCTTTTTTTAATCACGTACATACAAATTGTAATATATATTAAATTCTACATGTATTATTATAATATATATATATATATATTAAACTCATATATTTTTGTTGTATTAAACTTTATCAGCACTTATAATAATCAAATTTCACGAGTTTCAGTGTAACTATAAATGTCCTCATATATAAAAGCCATATATACTATACAGTGCAAGATACACACGCACAGAGAGGTCCATTAAACTATCATTATCTTTAACTTTGTCATCCTACATAATTGAGCAATTTCCTTCTTCCGAAGCGGAGAGATGCCAATGCGACGCTAGTAAGTGACAGCGTTATTAAATTTCTGCAAACAATGATTTATAAATGCTGCCTATCTGCGCGTCTATTTGTGGCAGATAAATCAGGACAAGATAAAACATCCGTTTGTCAGACGAATGATTCTAGGAAAGCATGGAGGAAAAACACAGTAACGGCGGCGTCACCAGATGGTGATTTTTCCTCGTTGCTCATGGATAGGAAAGTCTCGCAGACCGTCGTATTTCATCGCACAGATGAGTCCGCGAAATTTCGAGGACGCGACGCGCGAGAAGAGATGAAAGTAGACCGGGAGTGTGCCGGCGGCGCCGAGGAGGTTATGTAAAGAGCTCGGAAGATGGTAACGTGTGCGCCGACGATACCTTGACACTGTCAAACGGGTACATGACGCAATGCTCCATGATCCCGGCGACAGCACCGGCCGTCATGTGCACGGCCACGGAGTTGGTCGGAAGGCTTTCGTAGTCGTCTACATTCATGATCGCGGCGGACAGGTGCTTGCTCGTTAGCTCGTGAGATCCGCCGTCACGATGTCGTGTAACCTATCCTCGCTCTCTTTTTCTTCTTCCTTCTGTCACACACACATATACTCTTCCCTCTCGCTTTCTCTCTCTCTGCTTCACGTATTGCTGGCCGACACAAGTTTACAATTCAACGTTAACGTTCGATTCTCGAATATCGCCACGAGGACGACGTAACGGTGTTACGTAGCAGTACGTCGCGAAAACAAACCGCACACCGGACGAATCGCGGCGGGGCGGGCGTTACACACGCGCCGACATGTGACCGCGTGCGTCGATCGTTTCTTAATGGTGCTGCGGAGTATTACGGGGAGCCAAGGAGGCTCTGTGGAAGGCTATCCGTTTCCTGCCCCCGACCCTCCGCGCACGGGATCTTCCCCCCTTCCTTTATGCTCCGATCGCCTTGTTCGTTCGTTTAATCAACCAACTGACTCGTTTTATGAGATCAAGGATCGAGCCGCGAAACGACCAAAAGAATTCACAAGCATAAATCTCGCAAGGTGGCAATCCCGATCGCGGCGAAGACGGCGCGAGATTTGGCAAGGTTAGGTCCGGGCGCACGTGCCACGCATGCGTCGTGCGCGACCACGTGGTCCATGCGTGCCATCCAGGCCGTTCTATGCCGTCCGCGACTCCGCGCTTTGAAGCGGCTCCTCGATTTTAAGCGGACGAAATATCGAATGAGCGTGCATATAGAATTGATGCCGACAATAATAGCGATAATTTCCCGGATAAAAGGAGAAGGGACGGCAGCATCAAATTGTCGTGATGCACGGTGCAATTTCGCCCACACAATTTCGACCATCTCGCGTCCCGCCGTGGATTCGTTGATCGTTTTAACTGCATTTTCTCCACGGTGACTCGCCGAAACTCTCCGCCACGTGTAAATATAAAAATGACTCGTCATTAAGCCACCGATCAATAATAAAGGATTTTGCTGATTGGTCTTTCGATTGATTTTTCACAATTTGTGCGATCATGTTACTTTGCGTGACATGGTAAAGTCGTGTAAATTTCTTCTTGATTCCATGTAATAAAAGAATTACATGGCACTTTATAGCTTTCTTTCGACGTACTTTCGGATAATATAGCGGCGAAAGTGTTTATTTTATTCTGTCGTCGCACAAAAATTAAAATACATTAAATTAAATTAACGTCGATCGAATCTCGTAATTAACAACTATTATAAGAAATAAATTGAATGTTCGTCAAAAATAAAAGACGGTATTTAAAAAAGTGCAGAAAGTACAGCTAAGCGGATCCCGTTCCAGGAAAATTCTGTTCACCTTCACGAATACATGTACTATTGTTGAATATATAAAAAAGCAAGAAGTTCGTGTTAGAACACACCTTATCGCTTTTGAAATCGAGATACTCTCATGCATGTTATGCAAAAAATATGCGGGTCACCGTCAGCTCTTAGAGTGACCACATATATATTTTATAAAATATTTATAATATAATTATCATAAATATATTACATAAAATATTTTATATTATATTAGTCCATATTTTAATAATATTTTGAATAAAGTATTACATAAAATATGTATGAAATATCTAATATAACATTTAAAAAAAATATTAGGTGTTGGAATTAATTCGTAGCGTTTTACAAGTGATGGGAAGTACTTTCATTAATGTATTTTTTAATGCTCATGTGAAATAAATAACATTCTTTCATTAAAAAACGCTACGAATTAATTCCAACACCTAATACTATTAATAAATATTTATCATAAGTATTTTGTGCTATTTGGGCTATTATCGGGCTGACTATCAAAAGAGAATGAAATTTTCAGTTGTGAGAGGATTAGAAGCAAGCGAGAAAAAATACTTGCGCCATGTTGTGCCACAGGAAATGTATGATCTCTCATCGCTTATGTAAAATATATATTTTAACGGCTGACGTAATGCCGGTACCACAACTTTTTTTCCTCTCTCTCTCCCTGTCTCTCTCTCTCTCTCTCCCTCTCTTTCTCTTTTTCCATTCTTCCCTTTTCTCTAACATGAATGCCGATTACTTATGGCAAAAAAACGAACTGATTCCATAGCATTCATATATTATAGCGAAGTTTATTTCTAAAATAGAATAGATAATAAAAAATTAGCTATTTTGAAGCGACTTTGACGAAACTCCAATTAGTTTAGTCAGCATTATTTTATCAACTCGTTAAAATTTTGCATGCATGAATATATATAATATAAATATGTATAAACATACATAAATATATATAATCATATATAAAATATAATTTGAAATCGATGTTGATTCGATGTCAATTTGATGATTTTGATGTCGAATCGACATCCATTAGCTATTGATTCCATTATCATTTTTCACTGTATATGTTCATACATCTTCCTCTTGCTTTTGTAAAATTATTTCTTAATGTAATAAAAATAATAATAGTAATGTGAAAACATTAAAAATAATTAAACAG